TCTTAACAGATCGCTTGTCGACGACGTTGCTAGAGCATTGCCAGCCAGCTCGGTGCTCCTGTCTGTCCTCGTCTTCATGTCCTTGGCTCCGGCTTGCCTGTTTCAATTTACCGTGAGTCGATTAAGGCGCTTCCATCGAGAACGGCGATCAGGCATCGACCTCATTGATAGCGGTCGATAGCATCTGACAGTGCCAAGGCAGAAGTTGCGCCGAGTCTGCCTTGGCGACCCGAGTGTCGCTTATGTGATCAGATAGAGATCTCTCTGTCTGACTAAATACGGTAATAGGTTGAAAGATTAACAAGTTGCAAGGTGCGACAGTCATGGTGAACGAGGCGTAATTAGGACGCCATGTGCCGCGTTACTAGACGAAAAGAAGTGCTTGTGTGAACAGAGGCCGTTAGCTCAAAGCTCATGTGCACACGACTTAACTTACACCATTACTGCCAGACGCCAAATGAATGCATCGATTTTCGAAAGCTCCGAAGATAATTTGTTTTGATTTTCGAATTCTCATCGCAACTAACAACAGATTTCCTCTTGCAGCAATACCTCGCTTTTATGTAAGGTAGAGGCATGCGACTGTTCTCACTGATAAGGCCCCCAAAATACGACGTGCCGTTCCCACGGTTGAGCGTTCGACGACCTACTGTTTGTTGCGGTCGCTGATTACTATGTCGAACCACTGTGAACAGTTGCACTTGTTTGTACTCATGGCTTTCACTTACCTCATCTCACCGACAACGGTAAGTCACTTCGTGGGCCAATGTAAACTCATTTCGCAAGTGAAACATTATTAGACTATAATCAACGCTTCGAGAGTGCCGTATTTTGGGTGGTCGATGTGGTCGACGTGGTCGGTATGCAGCCGCACATGCGGAACCGGCGTCCGCTACCGGCTGCGCCATTGCTTTGGGTACGAGTGCGGAGGTATCGGCATTCGGCATGAGCTATGTAACAACCAGGTGAGCGCTCGACGTGGCACCAATCTGTGCAACATTTCTAAGGTATCATCATTTGACTCATTTAGTTGTGTCCAAGTGGCGCTGCCGACTTCCGAGCTGAGCAATGCGCAACTGCCGGCAAAAGTTCTGACCGAGCAAATTTCCTTCACAGGTTGATCCCCGTGAACGATTTCAGGTATCCATGTGCTTTAATATGCAAATCAAATATTTATGGATGGCGAAAACGACTAAGAGAAAAGGTCATCGATGGAACCAGATGCCTCGCGAGTGACGACCACT